TGTGGATATTTTGATATGGGATGAGATGGGTTTGTCTGAAAACAGGGTTTGTCCCTAAATGCACCAGTTTTGGTCATCATGACATTATCATGTCTACCCTACCCATTTTTTGGTGGTCTACAGTAGGGATATCCGTCTCAGACACCCTCAGTTGGCTTCATCCAAATAGTGGCATTTGGGCATGGGTCCAAACTAGGAGATATCCCAAAATTCTTCATTGGAAGGGTGAACATGTTGGAAAAAACATGATTATGGCCTTATGGCACTTTCGATGGGGAACCATGATGATAAACATTGATAAACCTTTGGATCGTGCTCCAAATTTTGAGACGCTCCTGGTCCTATTTTACTTGATGATTTCACCCTGGGAAAGGCTCAACATACCCTCCAGTAAACTAACAGTTTGCTATTGAAAATGGCCCAGTCGAAATAGTGGATTTACCCATTAAAAATATGGTGATTGTCCATAGTTTTTTGTACGTTTACCAGAGGGTAATTCACTTTAGTGGACCCATGTTGACCCTCACCATTTCTGGGTCCAAAGATACCCGTCAAGCCAGAGCCGTTTGATTTGTCTTCGAAGGAACAAAGCACTTATCAATATGTGGCTTACGTAGTCACAACATGTTGGAAGGTACCCTGTGGTAAACTAACTAACATAACTATTGAAATCACCATTACCATAAATTGCCATTTTCAATAGCTATGTTTGTTTACCAGAGGGTAAGATTTTTGAGCAGTGCAGCATGTTGCTTTTTGCAAACCCTTAATCATGTGGGGATCTCCCCCTTGGGCAACTACCAAAATGGTCAGTTCTCCATGCATCAGGCCATCTCGAAGGGCGAGGAGCAGGTGGTGCTTTGGCGATCCAAATTGAAGGTAAGAAACATAGATATGCCGTATGACATGCCACATTTTTTTTTGGGTTAAACAGTGTATATATATAGAATATACATTCATACTCTCTTTCTCTCTATAAGTATATATTATATATAAACATGGATATAATTGTATGGATATATGTATATATTTACAATGGCATACATATTTTAACAGATGTTGGACGTTTTTTCCTTTTGCATTTATCCACCCAAATCTGGAATACATAATTTTGATACATACCCATGCTGATTGAGGTCTAGGAATGCTGCCAATCTTTGTGATCTCTTCCAACTGAAGAATCATGATAAAACGAATGAATCAAATGATGTGCGCGCATGTTTCCAGCAACCACTGTATTGTATTGAAGGTGTATTTAAATTTGAGGATGAAACCAGGGAGTCTCTTGCCAAAGATGCATGTGTTGCGCCATGACTCTTGCTCTTGATGATGCTGTTTGATTTGACAGCTGGTAGTTCTCCTGCTATCTGCTATCCAAGCACAGTGCACACAGGCCTTCAAGTCGTTTCAACCGCCCATTGTCAACGCCAGTCTGTCTTGCTTGTGTTGTATATTACCATAAAATCTTTAACCCCCTTCCCAAACAACAATGACGAAACACAGTCCCAGATAACCCTGGTTTAATATGACCGTCTGCCAATTTCCTGACATAGCTATCATAGAGCCATGTTCCCATCACATTTGTTTCGATAAACATTTGAACTAAATGGGCCAGACCTGCCGTGGCTTCCAGTTTGTTGTAACAAATTACCAGAGGGTAAGATTATTCCTGATCATTGTGGAGGACGCAACGGGAAAATTCCTTCTGATATCCTGAGGTCATGGTTTTCTCAAGCACCTCAGTGGCAGCCGGTGGCGTGGAATCAGTGGCACCGCTAAGGCCGCTAAGGCTATACCGTATCAAATGCCAAGAAAAAGATAGTTGCCTCATGATCCAATCCGGAGAATCCGAAAAAAAACACAACTCTGTAGTGGAACTAGCCAGCAAGTGCAACATATGATGAAAAACAACTTCACATTAAGAGGTTCTTACAATTTCTTACATGGGCTATGTCTCAACGTAGACCTCAAGGACCCATTGGCTGGTTATGTTCCAACTTCGTGGATTTGTCTGTAGGCTACCCCCCCCAAGTCCATAGGTTTATCATTTGTTTCTATTAACATCGAAAGTTTTAAGGGCATTTTTTCCAGTAAATCCTTACTTTTCAGACACATCCAAAAAGTCCCATGCCTTCCCCATTTCTGGCGAACCATCTTATTTTTCTGGCTCATATCCTTTTTTTCTTGGTAATATCTCACTATAGTCACTATACCTAGACCCTCCAGATACCCCAACAAGTTTGGGTCAAACCAGCATTTCTTTATGGGTTCCTTGAAACGCTTCGGGTCGCGCTCCGGGTGTCCTGATGTGTCCTGGTCGTCTTAGGACCCGGATGCCCTTGGTGCGAAAGGCTTCATCCAGTTTTGCAGAACGTCACTTGGTGTTGGGGACATACCACATGGGGGGTTCTTCATGGGGTTCTTCATGGGGGATCCCCAGTCGTCACCATGCTTCACCTACCCATGACGGATCCATGGTGCTGGTAGATTAATGCTAACATAAAGGGGATATATTGATGGGATCCATGTTACCATATATAGCAGCACCATGGATCCTATGGGCTATACTAAGATCATGGTCTAAGTATCTAACTGGAGGATTTGGGGCACCATGAGTTTGGAAAGCTCGAAATTGAGAATACTGAGAATATTGACGAAGATGGTATCTAATATGGTATCTAATTATGATAGACAGTCATATTAGTTGATGGATGTTGATGGTATATATATATAAATGAAGAAAGACACAAAAAAACATGTTGATCGCTGGTATAACTATACAATACTATACATGTTAGTTCCCTCAGAGAAATTTGTGATTTTCAGATGGGTGACTAATATGAAATCATGTGGATTGGGATCAGGCCCCCATTAAAAAGAAACATATCCAAGGATCTTCAAGTCAGCTATAGACACGTCTTTCTGCCAGATTTAGGAGGGTGATTTTGAGCTACAGATGCTACAGAGACCAGTGCCGTAGACCTACGATCCCAATCTTTTTTTGAAGGGCATCATTCACGCGATGGCAATATGGGTTACCCTCTGGTAAACGTACAAAAAACTATGGAAAGATCCACCATTTTCAATGGGAAAACATCCACTATTTCTATGGCCATGGCTTCAATAGCTTTTTGTATGTTTACCAGGCCGGGTAGTCTGAAAACATGCCTCCAAGTCCAATGGATTAGAACCTCTAATTTTCCCGGTTTCCCGGCACTGGGGATAGCCCCTATTGATATATATATATATATATATATTGCGCAAGGTGTGTTTGGTGATTTTTCCAAGGGCGGCAAACTGTTATTCTTTGCCCATAGGATCCATGTATGCTATATATGGCAACATTTACCATCAATATACCCCCAATGTTAGCATATATGCCAGCACCATGGATCCTATGGGTTGGTAAATCACCATACAGTTTGCGAAGTGGAAAGATCCACCCATTTTCCATGACGTGGCGATGTCATCGAAGTCAATGGATCATGGTCTCCCCAGTTGTGGGGTTGAAAGAGTGTCGCCATGCCGTCCGGCACCATCCACACGTAAATCTCCCGTGAAACAGGACCGTCATTGGAACCTCACTAATACTTTTAATTTCATGTGTAATTAATGTAACATTGTGTAATGATGTATTTCCCAAACAAGTGCGGACATCTATTGGGTTTTCCCTATAGATTTGCCAAATAAAACCATGAAAAAACTTACTATGTCCTGTCGATGTCTACTTTGAATCCTCGGATTTCCTATTGGTTTCCTACGAATATGGTTGATTTATAGATGAAAAAGAACGGCTTCAAGGCAAACAGACCGCAGGCTTTAAACGGAGGGTCTAAGAGTCTAGGTAGAAGCAAACCACATATCACCAACTTTGCTGAACTTGCAGGGTAAACACCATGGTTTACCCCTATCTCATATACTAAACACCATGGCAAAAAGCCATCGGTTTCCGGTTTGTCGCACCTCATAGGGCGATGTCACTGGCCGTGGGGATAGTTGTAGTGGGATAGTATATTTTATTCATGTTTAATCAATAAAATGATATCATAATTCAATAAAGTCAACTTAGCTCAACTATCAATCAACTATAAATCAACCACAAATCCTATGATGTGTCTACAGCATCAATCCCTTTTAAATCCCCAACTGTGGTTTAAAAAACACAACATTTAACTGGTAAACTCACAGTTTGCAAACTGGAAAATCACCGATGTGCGTGCCCCACTTAGGATCCCTCAGGCTATCCATATATGTCATCCCATATTTCATCAAGGATATTCAGCTAATGTCTTTTCACAGATGTACCAAGAATAGATCCATAGATTCCATATGTATATCTTTATATATATATGTATATTATATATATAACATATATTATATTCTGCGACATATTTTGTCCACATTTTTCTCCAACTATTCCACATCTGACATACCTTTCATAGATAATATAATATATATACCCTATGGATCCAAACACCTCCTGAGAAGGTACTTAACCCCCCAAATCATACCCCAAACACTTCCTAAGAAGGTATTTGGATCCATAGGGATATATATATATATATACACCCCTACATTAACTATAGTTATATCTGCCATAAACCATAGTGAAATGGGAGTTATGTTCACCAACTTAGCTAACGAACTGGGGCACCACCTAACGTATGTTTCGAGTTGAAATCACCATGTTTTCCCATGAAATCACCCTGGACTTCCCCCCTGGGATTTTTCGGATCCCTTTTGGGACGAGGCCATCAAGCGCCGCGCCGACTCCCTGGCGGCCGCCTCCAACGCCACGGAGGACCAGGCGCCGCTGCTGCGCGCGCCGCTGCGGGTCTTCATCTACGACGCCACGGAGAGGGGGGGCCCGGTGGACGAAGCATGGGAAAACCATAGGAAAACCCTAGGAAAATAGGGATTTCACATGATTTCACCATAGGAAAATGGGGCTTTAAGGAAGAAACATAGGGGGATTTGGTGGGATTTACAGCTTGATGGTTGAGTTGGTGAACCTAACTTGGTTAACGTTTGGGCGATATCACAAAAGGGGGCCAAAAACCATGGCATTGGCGTGACATGGCGTCACTGGGAGGTGACATGCCAATGCTGGGGATTTCATGCAAAAGAGTGGGAGATATCACGATTTAATAGCTATATTAATGTATAGAATTAGTTGTTCATGATTTATCATGAGATGTACTTATTGGGGATTAGAATAATGTGATAAATAAGCAGCCGCATGATAATTTGGCTGTGTCTGAAAATGGGGTATGCCCGCAAATCTGTAAAACTGTTGCTTACACAGTGGATTTGTTATGTGGGCAAATCCCTGAAATGTGGATTCCAGAAAAATAACTGTGAAAATGGGTACTGTAAAAATTGGACCAATGGGAAGAAAGACGGTAACAATGTTTAAAATATCTGCAAATAGCATACCATCCACAACTATCCACCATAGAAGGGGACTATGAAATTACTGTAGATAATGATCACAATATTTCTGGTATACCAAATTTATAAACCGCAAACTGGGGATGGTGTGGTATTGTGGATACCCCATTGCACATGATTATATAGATAGGGTGTGCCAAAAAACTCCTCCCCAGAAAAATACGATCCCGCATTTAAGTAAGGATTTCAACTGGCAACAATTGAAATCTAATTAACACTTTTTTGCCGATGAACTTGTGATACTTGCAGTACTTGTAGTACCTTGTAGTGAGTGGGGTTCAGCATGTTGACTGCGTTACCTTTTCCACCTTAAGTTTTTTATTCAAAGTGTAATAAGAGAAAGAGAAAGGGAAAGAGAGAACGAGAAAGAGAAAGAGAGAGAGAGAGAGGAAGAGGATCAGCTCTGGAAAAGCTTGCTGCAATTGTGAACCCCGATGACAAACCTACTAAAGTGAACTGGACCCTCTCATGGCCCAGTGCCTTGGAAATTTGTGGAAAAACTGTTCTTTAATAAGGGTTTAATAAGCGGTCTGATTCTTTTGGGACAGGGAGACAAGCACATTTGTTTGGACGAAAAAAATGGTTTCCCAAGATTTCTTGCCACAATAGTGAACCTTCCATAGCGAACCTAGCTACTAATCAGGATACAACCTTGCTATGTTTGATTGTTTTCCAACCTGGGGTGATTAGCAAAAAATCTTTCACACCGCATTCTTAAAATTTTGATGCGTCAAAATAGCATCTTAACAGGTTGTAGGAGGACTGTCAGGAGTGTTGGCTGAATGAAGGTTGGCCAAAAGATCGGTTATTGTGAACCCGTGGGGCCTGAGTATTTCTGAAAGTTTCCCATTTTCTGTGATACAGTTGGTTACTAAATACTGGAAATGGACAGATGTCACATGTTTGTTTCATCTTTACCAAATGCAAACCTGAGGTAATTTCAGTTCCACTGATCCACCGTCCGGCACGGCATTGCTGGTCAAGTGAAAAACATGTTTGTTGCACATTAATTGGCACGTTTCACATTCAACCAAGGTAATTTCATAGTAGGGCAATCATGGTAAAACATAGCCATATTAATATCTCATCGACAGGAATGCAGCAGCATACTACTGGAAGGGACTGAATCATCCTCGCAGGAGTTTGGTCCAATCATGCGCCGATTCGGAGTGGAAGGCCCTGGATTTTTGGATTTCGGTGACACCATGGTAGCAGGTCTGAACATGGCGTTGAACATGCGAACGAAACCTTGGTTTTAACAGAGGAAAATCATGATACACCATACCCTCTGGTAATTTAACATAGCTATGGACAATCACCATGATTAATGGGAAAATCCACTATAAATGGTCATTTTCAATATAGCTATTTTGACATCACCAGAGGGTACCTCTCATGACACATTTTCAGACCACGATGTTGCCAGGTCGTTAGGTCGTCACCAGAGTCGACTACCATCCGCCTGTGAAAACATGTGAGATTCGTAGAGAATGGGTGGCGAAAACCCCTGTCTGACAGGCTTCCTGTTGCAGTGTGACTAGTTGGATGATAAAATGGGATTACCCTCTGGTAATTTAACATAGCTATTGAAAATGGCCATTTATAGTGGATTTTTCCATTAAACATGGTGATTTTCCATAGCTATGTTAGTTTACAAGAGGGTATCTGGCCAAATACCGTTGATTTCCCACCATGGCCACAAGTGGCCTTGGCTTCTCCCGCGATGCCGCCCTTGCGAGGCTTCCCAACGATGTTTTTTTTTGGTCCTCCAGGAAGCAGGCGAGCCGGAGCCGGGCAAGAAGATGATGTGGGAAATTGATGTTGAAATATTGGGGAAATCAAACTTTGAAATCATCCAAGTTATTAGTCTTGTTTAATTGGACACATTGGGAAACACTTTGGGATGATGGTTTCATAATATGCTCGGTTTCTCAGGCAGAAACAGGCAGAAGGATGTCCCCAGGATCAGTCAACGTTATTTCACCCCAGTGAACTCACATTGTAACATGGACCCCTATTACTAATTATTACTAGTATATGGAAAAAAAAGTGGTTTCATGGCAATTATACCCTCTAGTAATCAAGCCATGCGCAATGCACAATCCACATCAATCCAAAAAAATATCCAAAAAATCGCCAAGTGTTTCACATCAAATCCCTGCATTTCTAGGGGATTTTCAATTGCCATCTTGGATTTTTGAAGGCGAACTGACACGTTACTCTACCGAGTTTTCATGGTCAAGTTGCATCCCGAAAGTCACGGACATGGCAGGCCAGTGGTTGTCCCAGGCTATCTGGGCTTCTTGGACTCGAGAGGGCAATTTATTCATTGTGGTATAATAATATGATATATATATACGTATATATATACATGATATATGTGTCGTAAAATATATCTACAATCTATTATTATTCATATGATGATTCAGTCAGGTGTTCTGGTACATATTTGTACAATAATGTATATAATATATATATATATACACCTCCATCTTCCGAGGTGTGCAAAAATTCAGACCCCAATGAGAAAAACGCCCTTGCCCCATGAGGGGCAAAAAAACATGTCCAGGGGCTTAATCCGTTCTTGATCAGAATTCCATGCCATTTATTGTTGAAGTGTCACTTCCAGAGGAAATATGGGCCAGGCTGCCAAACAACAAAAGTGAACCACTTCATTTCATCTGAATTTCTTTGCTTGGGACACCCCAAAAGTGAACCACTTCATATGAATTTCTTTACCTGGGACACCCCACAAGTCAACAAATTCATATGAAATTCTTTACTGATCTTTTTTGGGGTGTGGGGGACAAATTTATTAGGTGTCCAAAGGGTTTTGTTGCACATACAGACGTTTGGCTGCTTTAGCGTTCGGTCGACAGTTTACCTTTCTTGGTCTAGTGCCAAAAGCACATGCCTTGGGTTATAGTTATTTTGAGCTGGAGCGGACATGGAAAATTGTCTACTCATTGAATCCAGCTGTGTGGGACACGTCTTTGAGTGAAGATTTTGTGGGGCGCGCGTACGTCGCCAATTCAGAAGGATTGGCTATGGCAACATTTCAGGCAATATCCCTTTGGTCTATAGAATCAAAGCCAGACTTCTAGTCCATAGGTTTAAGAAGCAAAGGCGGCAATGACCGGTTTAAAAGCACTGAGCTTTGGGTTGATTTAACAAAGATTGTTTGCCAAACATAGGATTTAGAATAGATAATCTTTAAACATTCCAACCAAATTCAAGCTGTGAATGTGTGTTGTAATCTGGCACCATGGGCTGACATGTCCACCTTGGAGGGGGCGCTATTGGGGAAAAAACATGGGGAAAACAGCATGCCTCCAATACAAAAACTTCCGCCAATCGTTCACCAAGTCCATTCCCAAGAAACTTTGACAGTACTAACATTAATTAACATGATATTGTATAACATGTACTAAACATGTTGTTAAGTTATTTTAAGTCTTAACTCATCCCCATCTGTTCCAAAGTCTAACCCCGGTCTCTTTATCGGTCCCTTCAGGCGACAAGGACTTTGACACCATGGCCACCCAAGCGGCGACGACGATGCCTGAACCGCCGAAGGAAAGAAGGGAGCGCAAGGGCTTCTTCCGCTGAGGCGTGACAAATTCTTCTGGGTAAATTATAACGACCTCACTGTTCTCCCTCACTGGAAAATCATCCCAAAATGGCATAAAATGGCCTTAATTCAGGTTAGTGAATTATAATTTACCCAGATTCTTGGTTGGTCGGAGCGATGGGGAGGTTTGTTTGTATAATACATGGGGTATAGGGCCGATGGGGTATACACCAAAAATGGCGACATTTTTTTGGGGAACAGACATTAGGGAATATGTGATGGTCAAGGGATTTAGGGGCTATTTGATAAAACCATATGGGATGATATGATCGGGAGAAGAGGGAAGATTGTATATATTATTATATTATATCATTATATAAATGATAATAGGGATAGAATAAGCAAGAACAAACTAGCAAATGGGTGAGTCTGAAAACGGGGTATAGTATAGACCGACAAAATTCTTGTAATACTAATTTAGTTATGCTTCGCCTTGTCTTGCTGAGGGGTGCGCAAAACCTTCAGTACTGATAGGGGACGACCCTAATTTGCGCATGGCATCAAAATGAAGAAGTGATTCCGTCCGCCATTCATATCCACTAATGGCCATTTACCGATAGGGGGAATGACCATTAAACCATGGATGAACTGGGGTCCCCTGTTTTCAGAGACCCAAGTGTAGAAAGTACAATCATAAGGAGGTATGGTAAGGAATATCTATGATCATATTTTGGAGGTAAACTGGCACTAACTCTTTTTTGTGATGCCCAATTCTCATCATTTATGGTGTGGAATCCTACCACGGCGACTGGCAGGCGATTTCAATGGCTCGTCAATTGCCCAAAGGGTTGCCTGTCTGACGTGTCACCGCGGTAGCCACGGTGCGGTAGAATTGCCGGAAACAGAATGGCAGGGCTCACGCAGCAAAAACTGCAAGGTGAGGACAATCCTAGATGGAGACACGACCAGAAAAAAAAACGTTTCTGCTGTCAGTTTGGAACAGAGCTGAAGCATGTTCAACGACTGACTGATTCATTGCAACTCCCTTTTGAAAACGGATGAATCACAATGAAGATGGTTGTTTCAGCAATCCAAGTTTTTGTACATACCGTTGCCTTCCAGTAGATTTATATATGTTGATGGGTTCAGGCAAACAATTGCAGAAGCATTGGTCTTTAAAACCAGTGGTAGCTGGTTGTTGTTTCGGTACAGGTCAAACTAATCCCTTCCCCTTAATATTAAACAACGCCTTTAGAAACTATGGTTTAGTAGGGAATTTCCACATTCCATTGGGACCATTTATGGGGTGTTTAATATGAACGGGTGATGGGATTATCTCCATGATTTCTCAAGGATGAACCTAAGGGTGTCCCCAAACGTTCAGAGTAAAGCCCAACTGCGAAACGTTCCCTGCAATTTTCACATCACCCTATGTCAATATATTACGATATGCCAACGCAAAAATTTTGTTTGTGTGTGCTTAAAAGAAGCCGTATAACGTTAAACGTTCGCTTCACAAATCAGTTTGTTTCCTAGTGATTTCCCTGTGCTTGGCAGATGAATCCGCATGTTTGGCAGATCTCCATTTCCATGTTGACAGGATCAATCTGCTCTTTTCCTACCTCTTGAAATGAGTAATGTGGGTAAAATAATGCCATAAATCATCCCACAGTCATCACCATTTTTATAGGTGATATGGTTGCCAGTCCCAAATCATTGGTGGTTTATGGTTTATGGCATGGTTTTCCATGTTTTTCCCACATTACAAGTTATGGTACCAGACCTGCAAAGTTGGATCTTCTTGGGAGGTGGTTATTTTATTTATTTTGACCCATTTTGGTCCAACGATGATGTGAAAAATGTTGGCAATATAATCATATATAATCCATATGTGCTTCAAGTTACAGTTCTTTTTTTGAATACTGGGAATTGAACAATTTGCCCTGGGCTGCCACGGAACATTGACCCATTTAATTCGATGCTTTGCGGTGCCGGGGGGGTGGAGAACTGGCTCAGGCATTGCAAAGTGGGTAATAGCCGCTATGAAATTCGCGACCTAGATCATATATGATATGATATGATATGATATGATATGCATCCGATATGCTATGATATAATGAGATGATATAACATGATATAACAATTATGTACATATATGGATGTGCGCAATTTCGTCAGATGATTGGCTTCGTTTTATATTTACTAAGCAGTAGCTGATATGCCACCTCAAAGGTTGGATATGGTTGGATAAAGGACCCGAAAACTGATGCTGTTTCCAACTAGGGGGTCAGTGTTCAAGGATGAGTCTGGCGGAAGAGCATTTACAAAATTTACACTGGTCGATAGTGGGTTTGACTGATTCGACTAGCTACGATGTCCATGTTGGGAAGAGGCTTCAGAAGACGTTGCCTTTTGAGGCACATGAAGGGCTACAAAAACTCGAACTACAATTACCATCTGGTTATTTAACATAGCCATGGAAAATCACAATTTTTAATAGGTAAACCATCTATAAATGGGTCATTTCCCATGGCTATGTTAAATAACCAGAGGGTATGTGCTGTCGTTACGCTCCGGTAGTCAAACATGGTGGGCCGCCGGAACATCCCCAGCCAATGGAGGTATCAGGACAAGTCATCGATTCGGTTTTTCGAGGTTACGCGCGTAGGAATTTCCGACAGCCCGACCTTGGTTGATGTAATCTGGTTGGTGGTTTGGAAATGTTTGGAACATGGCTTTTATTGTCCATTTCATATATGGGATGTCATCCCTCCCATTGACGAACTCATATATTTTTCAAGATGGGTAAAACCACCAACCAGTAATTCACTGGCTGGACGGGTTAACGCACATGTTATGCTAGCCACATTGGGGAAGATTTGCGATGATCAGGACATGTATGAACTGGACATCGCTTTTTTAAGTCATTTTAGGAGGTTTCCTAAAATAGGGGTAGCCCCAGTCATCATCCAAATTTCATAGGATTTTCCATGAAATAAACCATCCATTTGTACCAAAATGTATATAACCATCCATGTCTTGGGATGATTTTGGTCCTTTAGGTGTCTCTCCTCTACGACTTCACTTCTCTTCAGACGAAGTTGGATCCAGAACTCGTGACTTGGTGGGATCCATGGGATCCACTGCCACCGAAAACCCACGTTGAACATACCCTCTGGTAAACGTTTACATAGCCATGGAAATCACCATGCTATTAATAGGTAAACCATCCATTTTTAATAGGTAAACTAACATAGCTATGGAAATCACCATGCTATTAATGGGAAAACTCACTATTTCTATGACCATTTTCAATAGTTTTTTGTTAGTTTACCAGAGGGTAAGTCACCCCAAGTCACCGGGGTCCAATGTCTAGAGAAAATGCTGATGTTTAGCTATACCGATGCTGAACACGGCGGATAATTAAGTGGGACATGAAGTGGGACTCAGCCAAGAGTTTTCTCCACTCAGTTGGTTCATAAAAAGCCACTAGTTCGATATACCCCCTGGTAAACTAACAGAACTGTGGACAATCACCATTTTTAATGGGTAAATCAACTATACATGGTCATTTTCAATAGTTATGTTAAATTACCAGAGGGTATCTACCATAAAGTTACGGTCGTTTGAGCTACCAACTTTGCTATTCTTCGGGGGCACCTTGGTATGTTGTGTATCTGTCAACATGTGCGGAACCGCAGTTTTATGCATCATTAATCATTTGGGTCATGTTTGAAGGAATATTTTTTGGCAGACAACCATCAGTTTTTAAGTTGCCGTCTCTGATCTAAAGACGGGTGGAATTGGCGAATGGAATGGAACAACATAGCTGGTTGGTGGTTTGGAACATTAATTTTATTTTTCCATATATTGGGAATAACCATCCCAACTGACTATATAATATTTTTCAGAGGGGTTGAAACCACCAATTAGGCAAGATTCGGAGGAGATTCAAACCTTTTTTTTGGTGGCCTGACTTTCAGATCAGCATTTGGTCTATCTGGGACACAAGACCAATAGCCCTTCTTTGGGAAAGGCCTTGAAACATTCAGAATGGTTATTGCCCATTTAAATCAGAGTCAGAAATTGGCTAGAGGTCAGGTCTCAATTTCACTCTGAGGACCCCTGATTCTACTACAGTATTTACATGTATTCTGATTCTACTACAGGTATTTACATCTCTTTGCCATCAACATTCTGGCTAGCCACTTGATCCATGCCTAGTTTTGGGTTCCATCTTCATCTTGATTTAAGGCTTAGCAGTCTCTGAGGCTGGAAAACAAACTTTCTTGGAGGAAAACCACATACCATGTGTTGGTTGCCCAAGATCCACCATCAATCCATTCTGGGTAAATTATGGTGACCTCATTTCAGCTCAGGGAACCATTGTCATTTACCCAAAATCACACTTTACTAACTTTACCCTCAGCTCAGGCAGAGATTGCCTGCACGAAGCTCGCGGAATCGATGAGTGAGGTGAGCAATGAGTGCCCCCGAAGCGCCGCAGCACTCAGAGACGCCCAAACATTCTCCAGGAGTTCGATGGATTTATATATTGATGGTGATTAATGATGATATATGGTGATTTATGATGATTACCCTCTGGTTATTTAACATAGCCATGGTATAGATGGCCCATTTATAGACGGTTTACCTATTGAAAATGGTGATTTTCCATGGCTATGTTAAATAACCAGATGGTAATTGATTAATGGCAATTAATGTTGATTAATGATGATGGATGGTTATTAGATGCTTATTAGATGTTATTAGATGTTATTAGATGTTATTAGCGGAACCCGCTGGGCATCAAACATGGCCTGCTGCACAATCTGCGTTATACCATGATTTTGTCACATCGTTTATCGACCAATGTCATTACTTGGATGTTTATCCCGCTCAGAAACTGGGAAGAGGCGTAAACAACCCAGCTGTGGCATATGGTAAATACATGTAAATACAATGATTAATCTGGTTTACTAACCACTTACTAATTACAGGGTTTCTCCAACCTATTGTAGGTAACATATGGCCACACAGGGGGGCATTGGTGATGTTTTGCCTGTATGTTCAGCCATTTCTTTCCCCTGGAATTTGGGGTCTTGGTCGCAACCTCTGTCCCTGTCCCTACTCGTCATTTCCAGGGTAGTCATCTCCAGGTACTACAAGCGGGAGAGGCCGGCAGTTGGAGCACTGGAACATAGAACTGTCCCCGGAAACGGAGACATGTTGGGTCCAATGTCATAAACTTTCCATGACTGAAAAAATGATGTAGTTACCACCGTTACCACCCATCAAAACAAGTGATTTTGGGGATATGTTATTTTTTTGGGTCTACCACATTAGACATAGCTTCCACGAACAATGGGCAATGAACGGGGGTAGGAAAGCCCTAGATGATAGTTCCGGTGGTCACGATTTGTGGGTAGAAAGTGTTTGGAGTACCACTACTGAATCCGCACACGCCTGGCGTCTCATGTGACTGGGAGGCCATATGACTGGGAGGAGATTGAAAGTTGACTAATCGGTCACTGTTAGTGGCTGAAGGTCAAGGCCACCAATGTGTTTTTATCCGTGACGGCAATCCCCCAGAACCCGAGCCCTCTTGCCCTGTTCAGCCTGCTGTTGGAGTCAAAGTCCACCGTCATGTTTCCAACTAAAACCTTTGCGTCTTCACGATGAGTTAGACGTGGCTATTGTGGCGTCGAGGTTTGCCCATGAATGGTAAGTAAATGGAAAAGCCTGCTCCTCTCAAGAGAGACAAAGCTGCTAGGCAGGGGGATATGAAGGGATTAGATACCCAACATTTTCTGGTTGGTGGTTTGGAACATGGCTTTTATTTTCCATTTCATATATGGGATATCATCCTTCCCATTGACTTTCACATTTTTCAAGATGGTTGAAACCACCAACCAGATTTTTGTTCTGTCTATCTGATTATCATTGATTACCCTCTGGTAAACGTTTACATGACGAAC